AGGGAGGGAGGGTGAGACACGGACGACACGCAGAGAGACGCCGGGTCAACGCGCCAGGTAGCAACGCCTCGGGACAGCCGTCGACGTTTCCCTTCGTCGCCGTCTTCGTCCTTGCCATATCAACCACACGGGGTTGTGCCTCGTCTCTAAAACGACGACTCCAAGGGTGACTGCAATCATGGGGTTCTTTGACGGAAGTTTCGTTCTACTCGCGGCCACGATCGTCCTGCTTCCCGTCACGCACATAGCTCCGTTTGCATACGCTGCGTAAGTCATTATTGCTTCTTATATACACATGAAAGCATATGTAGGCACACATGATAGGATAGTCGCTTTGAAGTTGGCATGCGCTTTCCGGTGGCAGTTAACTCACTCAAATCCTGCAATAACATATCTCAAAATACGCATTATTTTATGCACAAGACGCGACTGTTTGCGATATCAAATTCTAGGATTCTAAAAAATGTCATGGCAACGAGTTGATGTCTTCTTCACAGTTGTGAAGCATCGCAAGCATTTTTTGTGGCATTATATAGTGTTTTAGTCCGCTTGTTTCAGAATAAATGTTCGAAGTGTGAGAATAAACTTGACACGTTGACGTACATTTAAAGCTTTGAAAATGTAAAATGTGATTTTTATCAACAGTTGTTTAGACAATTTATTCAATCTTCAACAAATGTAAATATATACATGTAAAAAGAAAGATAGACTTTACGTATCTCTCTCAAACTTAATTAAATATTCTTAAAAGAAAGATGTCTGAATATATACTGTTGGATAAAATATTACGTTTTTGAGGCAAATAATGACGAATGGCATTGTTACGATACGCGTCATTTATTATGCCACTTTGACAAGAAAAACAAAGTTTTATTACACGATCGTATCTGACGTCAACTCGTCCGTTGTCTATTATCAAGTGCAAACAAGATAGGTTTAGCCTTTGACATAACGGGCTACAATGAGAGCGACACACACACTCTCTCTCTCTCTCTCTCTCTCTCTCTCTCTCTCTTCTCTTCTCTCTACAGTCTGGATGCACCTTCGTGATTGCATATAAATGAGCGGATACTTGCAGACACGTTGCATACTTGTGTGTGTGTGTGTGTGTGTGTGCGCCTACCGTCTATGATCATAATACCATCCCTCGTGTCTCCAAAACGACGATAAGAAAGCTTTTTCTTTGCTCTTTTGATAAGCATAATATTTGCATACATATATATATATATATATACATGTATGTATATAATATATTGCTGTTTTAATAAGCATAATATATATCATAATATATATGCTATACGATCGAATATTGATCGTCTTAACGTGTAAACGCCACTTTTTTGATCGATTTTTGTTGATCGAAGAGTTTAATACTATAAAACAAATATTAAATTTTTAATTAATAATTAAATTTGTATATCGCGCAACGGTTATGCTATAATGTGTAATACGATATTATATATTGCAATACAATATCATTTAAATTTAGCAAATAAATATATCTTATGTATGTATCCTGTGCTAATAAAAATTAAAAATTTTGTTTTCTTTCTATTTCATTATTTATCTTTTTCCGAAAAATTTTTGCGATAATGAAAGTTGCAAAAGCAAAAATACATTTAAAATATATAAGATTTTAGCATCAAAACTACTTATTTATAACGACACAACTAAAACGCTATAAATGATAAGTAGAAGAACTAAAGAACACGAGCGGTGGAGACAAAGCGCGAGTTACATTGATGCTAAAATTGGAAAACGTTTGCTCATCCGTCGATCCCGACTCTCACCAGTAGCACGTATTAATAATCCGCAAATGTAGCTAACGTTTGTGCAGTATGAGCCAACATTATTGATTACTTTGCACGAAACATTTGACACGCTGGAAACGTGTTCGACGACACTGTTCACTCATATTCTTTTCTCATCCCCGTTGCGATCGCTACGGTTTTACTACTGAAATATATCTCAGTATCGGATGATTTATTCGCATTTTCTATCGACACGTTCTAAATATCTGCTCACAAATCAACATAAAGGAGTAAATAAGCTATGGAATCAATTGATATTTATTTTTACCGTACTCAATCTAAGATATAAAAATAACGTGGAAAGCACACATTGAAGATTCTGATTTACAGTAAAAAAAAAAACATATTTATGTATACTCGTAGCGTGAATATAATTTTCTAAATGAAAGTTGCACTTAATGTAACGAGACGTCATGTATATTGTTTTATTTAAAATGATATAAAAAATAGCGATTGCGAGAAAGTCCTTCTTTCGAAGTTTTTACTTTCAAGTTTATCTAATGACATACAAGTTTATTAAAAGCGCTTCTATAATCTTCGAATACCTTAATATCGCGCAAATCTCAAGTATTGAGCAATATCATTGACAGAGAGATACCAATTTTGTGGCCAATTTCAAAATAGTTTCAATTTATAGTAATTTATATTCAGTGAAGGTGGTAAACTAGTAGTTACATGTAGTCGGAAGGATTATCAATATTTACGCTCTTCCAGCGAGCCTCGGTCGTTCCACCTGTTTCCTTCTCAAGAGGCGCACGACGCTTCTCTCCGGTCTTCTCTAGATCTATACGAGTACCAACCACGACGTGACGTTGTAGTGTGTATCGGTGATCGCAGTAGAGCTCTCGAGCAAGAGGGTGCTCCCGACGAAGCAGAGCTCCAAATCCTCCTACGCCACTACCCTCATCAGAACACGGCGAGACTATGATCGTCGCCACCCTCGTTCGCTCTTGGACCAGTGTGTTACGCTCCGTTCTCTATACAACGAGAGAACCAACTTTTCTGCTTCACCGCATATTATCCGGACTGAGCTCGAGTTCCAATTATGCTGCTCGCCATCTTTAGTTGAGTCTTCGACAACGTTCTAACGACAGCCGTTACTTAATCTTAATAATAGTATTTATTTGTATGGGAATAGTCGCGAATTTCATAGCGACAAGAATTTATTCAGCTAGATGCTGTAAATTTATATTTAAAAAAATGAAAATATATAAGTATTTTTGCAATAAATGCACTGAATTTGGTAAAATACTAACATGCAAGACAATAACAATTATCCGAAAATATCAAAAATTCTCAGAAAACTACTTATCAATCTATGATATCTCACATCGACGTGATTCTCCCTCGTGAGAAAGAGAAGCAGAGAGAGAGAGAGAGAGAGAGAAAGAGAAACATCCTTTGGCAACCTTCCGGAATTGAAATCGTCGTGTTTTCATCGTAAGAGTATCGCCAACCACGGAAACAGACAAAATCACGCCAAATCATTCGACTCTAACTGACCTATTTTCCGCAACAGCGGCGGCACTTCTGTGACGAAACGGATTGTTGTTTTCTTTCGCACGTCTAACTCTTCTAACCTGACCTATGTTACGAGCGCGCGTTGCCAACACTACCGTCCGTCGGAAAGATAATTGTGACAACTGATATCTCACCGAGAGTGTTTTTCCATTACTGTTTCGGGCCAAAAGAGGATTTCTGCAGTTTTACCACGACATGTTCTGCGTTCCCGTAATATAGCTGTAAATAAATTGATGCTAGTGAATTATTTTTTACCGGCTCAAAAAACACATTAAAATATAAATATATGTATAATTAAAAAAAAGAAAAAATATCTAATAATGATTTGCTTAAAAAAAAGTCACATTTCTTTATAGAACACACACGTGTACCAATGCAGTTGATAATTAGTAGTTATACTAATGTAAAAGAAGAACAGAGCATTTTACGTAAACAATTAGTGTCTAGCAGCTGGCATATAAAGGCTGACAGAAATCGGACATACAGTGGTATAGCGAAGAGACGATCAGAGAAAATGACGCTTCGTTCGCAAACAGCCAATGCATATTTAATAGTGGACGATTATTAATGCGTTTATATATGCGGATGATTGATGAAATAGTCGCACAGCCTGAACAATTTATGTCACGATTTATGTGTCGTAATGATAGTTCTGTTCTATTTAATTCTGCAATCTTTTATACTTTATGTACTTAAAATAAAAATAGAGAATAATAATTTTATAATAGTTTAGAAACAATATAAAAAAAAAGAGAACAAAGAAGGAATACTTACATATAAATGTAAATTTTATACAAACTCTAAATTTTTCACATTTGACAGAGAGAAATGTAGTGTTTCTTGAAAAAATTACTGCCGTTAAATTCTTTTTATAGAGAGTATAAAATTAGAAAAACTATATGTAAATATGTAAAACTAAACCATGTAAAAATATTATATAAAGTAGAAAAAATATTTTCATTTAGAAATATTATAATATAAACATAAAACATTAAATGCTAAATCTATCTGATTTTGCACGATTTGTACAATATCCAACTTTTACAAAAAACAAATATTTCCGCCACGTCGCATTGTATTTCTTGAGACGTTATGACATTCGGCGAGATCGCGATGCGGTGACATATAACAAAACATATTTCCGATAGTACCTTCAAACTTAATCGGAATGGCGAGCCGATAACTCGACGGCGAAGAGGCGCGAACGAAGACACAAGAAAACGGATCATCAAGCAAGCCCATCTAGTTAGCTCCAAATTGAATATTCTTTGATAACTGTAATATCCGGCTGAGCAGTGCGGAGTATTCGAGAGCGGATGCGGCTGACTGTTTCTCGTGTTTTACTACTGGCGTACACAGTATTATATTCCGTTGAGCAACTCGTACATATAACCATAGTTTCGATAACAATGATTTTATCTATTTAAGTAGTTTGTCTTGGATTGATCAAACGATACATTCGAGCTAATAAATTCCGCCTTCTTTCTTATATCAGCAGTGAACTTATAATTAATATTACCAGTCGTATTTCATAAAAAAAAAAATTTGTGTTTTAAAACAAAGGTATAAATATTTAATACTTAATAATGCAATTTTTTGATATTGTCTCTAATTATTCTAAATATTTTTATTTTTTATTTCTGCATATATACGTCTAATTGGCACATTTTATCGCGAAGATGATACGTAGTGATCAAAGTCATTAGTACTTCTAGCTAACGTACTTGGACATTAAACCGAGACAGAGGGTCGAACACACACAGTTCGAGCGGTCACGCGATATGAAGACTTTCCTGTTCACTTCGGGATTTTAACTCGCGTGGCTTTTGCGCTCATAAATTCGTGCGCCGCGCGGCAAGTGTCACGATTAATATGCGGTTGTTCCGCCCCCTCTTTTCGCGCGGCCGTTGTCTACATGACCGCTACGTTGCAAAA